CGGCCGACCCCGATTCAATCTTCAGCACCTCATGTGATCCCTAGAACTGAACCGGAGCACAGAGCCAGGAGTAAGCTCTGAGCACTGGGGGTGTGAGCCCACACCCAATATATCCTTCTGAGAGTGGAGCTTAGAGAAAGGAAAGCGGGGTGGGGGGCTGGAGGGAAGAGGACAAGGATGTTTGTGAAGCAAAGAGAGTTGGAAGGAGAGTTTCCCAATTGTCTGCAAAGTACTAGGAATCCTGTGTTTTGTGGTAACCTGGTAGAAATTTCTGGAAGCCCTGAGGGGAAAGAGAGATCAGTCATCTCTCCAGTTCTCAGAAGAAACCCAAGTAATACACAGGGAAAAACAAAAAAAGAAAGGGTACAGGACAAGAAAGAGTAGAGGCAAGGGTGGCGGGGTGGGGCCTCAAGGATAGAGTCAAGGTTCCAGCGCTGACTGGGTCCCAAGACCCCGGTATGAGTTTAAGCCCTGATATGCCCCTTCTTCAGAAGCTTAAGAGTAGCGCTTGCACCTCAGACCCGAACATCCTGTAGTTTCAAGAACAGTCTAGTTCCCAGAACCGGCCTCCCAGGCAGAGGCTGCCAGGGAAGGGTGAGCCCTGGGAGGCCAATCAGAGGCCAGTTGGATGGGCTGGACCTGGCAAGGGTTAGGGACCCAAGGCTGGAGTGAAAGCACAGTGGGTAGGACGCTTGCCTACATGTGGCCGACCCCGGTTTGATTCCCAGCATCCCAGTCCCCCAAGCACCGCCACGAGTAATTCCTGAGTGTAGAGCCAGGAGTAACCCCAGAGCATCACCAGGTGTGATCCAAAAAGGAAAAAAAAAAAGAGTTAAGGGGGCTGGAGCGATAGCACAGTGGGTAGGGCGTTTGACTTGCATGCGGCCAACCTGGGTTCGATTCCCAGCATCCCATATGGTCCCCCGAGCACCGCCAGGAGTAATTCGTGACTGCATGAGCCAGGAGTTACCCCTGTGCAAAGCCGGGTGTGACCCAAAAAGCAAAAAAAAAAAAAAAAAAAAAAAGAGTTAGGGACCCAGAGGCTGATGGCAGGCTCCCAGTCAGCCCTTTCCTGCCCTGATACCTCTTTCGAAGTAGAATGGAGATTCCCACTGGGTAGACGCAAGGCAGGAGCAGAAGGAGCGACTGACCAGAAACAACTAACAAACATCAGGACCTGGTTCTTCTCAGCTTGTCATAAAAAGGGGAAGCTCAGACCTAAGAAAACGCAGACACCCTGAGCTCACAGCCAGCTCCCCAGGCAGTCGTGGGCAAGTTATGGAATCTTTCAACCTTAGTTTTCTGGTCTGAAAAATGGCTCACTTGTTGAGTCATTGTAAGGATTGGGTGGGATTAGGGCTTCCGGAAAAAGCTCAAAGGTTTCAGCCATGTAGGAGCCCCAAGTTCTATCCCACCCACATGGTCCCCCAAGTACCACTGGGTGTGACTCCCCCACCCCCCCAAAAATAGAATTCCCTACTCTGGATATTTCTTATAAATAGTGGAGCCATGTCTATTAAAAGCCTTTCACTGAGAGACCCCACGGTGGGCTGCTTGAATGCAACAGACCTGGAAGGGTTCAGAGGTCACTGCCTGGTGCTGTCCTTACCATTTGCCTCCTGAGCTCAGGAGATGTAGAGACCCCAAAGCTAACTCTAATCACCCCAGGGCCCCTTCTGTCCCTCCTTGCAGTCTAACTCTCACTCTGGTAATACAGTCGGCACCCAATAGACATCCACTGAATGAGAACTAATTTGGCACGAAGGGGGGGGAATGATGGGTAAGTGAGGAGCCGTAGGCCAAGATGACTGTGGAACTGTGGGTGCAAGCTTGGTGTGTGCAGTGCCTGGGAGAAAGGGGAGAGGAGGCTCAAATTGGGAGAACTTCAAAGAGAAGGAGGCATTTGACTCTCTCCCCTCCAGAGAAGCCCAAGTTCTCTCTCTCTCTCTCTCTCTCTCTCTCTCTCTCTCTCTCTCACACACACACACACACTCTCTCTTTCTCTTTCTTTTTCTTTCTTTTCTCTCTTTCCTTTCTCTCTCACACACATACACACTCTTTCCTCTCTCTCTTTGCCTCTCTCCTTTTTTCACTTACATACCCTCTCTTGTCTCTCTCTCTCTTTCCTCTCTCTCACACACATACACTCTCTCTCTCCTCTCTCTTTCTCCCTCTCTCCCTTGTCTCTCTCTCTTTCTCTCTCAAATGCTTTTGGGCCATACTCAGCTGTGATCAAGTCTTACTCCTGGTTTTGTGCCCAGGAATTTCTCTTGACGATGCCTGGGTGACCCTGTGTGTTGTGTTGTCAGGGGTGGCACTCTGGCCAGCCATGTGCAGGGCACATGCCTTGGCCCCTGCACTATCTCTCCACCCTTTTTCCTTCCCCGGTCCCCACTGAAACTTAGGATGGGCTGAAAGACATCTCAACCAAACAAGACAAAGCCTGATCAGGCACAAGTGGCAAAGCCAGGTCTTCAGTTATAAACAGCTTGTGGTAGGAATCAGGATATTCAAAGACAGCCCGTTTCCTGTGGCTGGTGGCTGTCAGGCAAGCCAGGGTGGTCACCGTATGGACAGGGACACCACCAGGCACCCTTGAGTGTTCTTCCTGGTGGACAAACTGGGACTGTTTTTAGATTGAATTGGGGCGGGGGGAGGTGGCGGTGCTAAGTGGTGGGCCCAGAGGTGGAGCCGAGTGGGCATCTGTGTGTGTCCCTGCTCTGAACGGGGCCTCCCTCCTGTGCTGTTGTCACATAGTGCCGAAGTACGACAGACTCCAAGTTCTGCAGCCCTGCCGGGGACTCAGGGGATGCTCTGGGGGAGAAGGGCCAGACCTACAGCTCCTTCTAGCCCCATGTTGAGTCTCTGGGACGTTCATTCACAGCTTTTCCTGATATTTACTCTCCTGCTGTTTTTGGTGGACCCTCTCTTCCTCAGTTTGGGCGAACACACAGCTAAATAACATGTTCGCCCACCTCTCCCAGAGTTAGGTGTGGCTGAGTGGCTAAATTCTGAGCCAACATGGTGTGCTTCGCTTGCAGACTGTCTTAAAAATAAATGGGGGAGGGGGAGCTGGAGCGATAGTACAGCGGGTAGGGCCTTTGCTTTGCAGGCGGCCGACCCAGGTTCGATTCCCAGCATCCCATAGGGTCTCCTGAGCACCACCAGGAGTAAATCCTGAGTGCATGAGCCAGGAGTAACCCCTGTGCACTGCCAGGTGTGATCCAAAAAGCAATAAATAAATACATAAATAAATAGGGGGTAGTGCTGAGTGATTGTACAGTTGGTAGGGTACTAGCTTTGCATATGATTAACCCAGGTTGGATCCCGTCACCCCATATGGTCCCCTAAAGTCTCTAGGAGTGCTTCTTCCTGGAACCACTAGCACTCCTGGAGCACAGAGTAGGAATAAGCCCTGAACACTGCTGGTTGAGCCCCCCCCCCCACACACACCCAAAAAAGAGTAAAGGGGTTTGTTTAAAAACATTAATTTAGAGGACTGGAGCAATAGTACAGTAGGTTACATAAGGTACTTGCCTTGCATGTGACCAACCTGAGTTTCAACCCTGGCATACCATATGGTCCCCCTGAGTATCGCTGGGAGTAGCCAAAAGAAGCAAAAAAAGTGGGGTGCTCCCTGGCTCTATTTCCACATGCCACAGTCGTGATTCTGAGCCTCAGAATGGAAGCTATGTTGAGAGCAGTAGAACCAGGAGGTAGCTGGGTTCCCTGAGAGAACGGATGCACAGGGTCTCAAGTTCGATTCCCTGTACTGACCCCTGGAAGCGCCGTGGTAAGTAGACAGAGAATTCTAGATCTTGCTTTGAGTCTTCCTTAAAGGAACCCAAACCTGTTTCTCAACTGTGTATGTCGCTCCACTCATACCTCTAGTAGGCCCCTCATTCTCTTCAGTGCTCAGGCCCTAAGACTCATATAACCCCCGCTCCTGGAGGCCCTTTAACAAGCAGGCACCCCTTCCTGAGGCCCCTCGGCAAAGGAAACCACTTCTACTCGAGGACAATAAGAACCTTTGAATTTGAGCCCTGAGCAGCATGGGGAGTGGCTCTCAATGTAGCTTTATTTGGGGGCCATGCTTGGCAGTGCGCAGGGATCACTCCTGGGTCTTGGAGATCCCTGGAAGTGCCTGGGTAGATTTGGGGCTGGCTGCGTGTAGGGCAAGCGCTCCACCCACCGTGCTTGCTCTCTAGCCCCTTGGTTTTCTGTCTCCTCAGCCGTGCTGGGGACCAGCAGGGACTCACCCAGTGATGCTCAGTACAGGGGATCGAACTTGAGACCCTGTGCATCCTAGACACTGCTCAAACCTCTGAGCTACATCCTGGCCCCTCAGAAGGTGATTTTTTATGAATACAAGATTGTTGAAGTTCCATGAATCAACCCCAGGGCACCACCAGGAGTGATCCCTGAGCAGAGCCAGGAGTAAACCCTGCAAACTTCCTGTTGTGGCCCAGAAACCAGCGGTAGGGCGTTTGCCTTGCACGCAGACAACATGGCCGACCCGAGTTCGATTCCTCCGCCCCTCTCGGAGAGCCCGGCAAGCTACCGAGAGGATCTCGCCCACACGGCAGAGCCTGGCAAGCTACCCGTGATGTACTCGATATGCCAAACACAGTAACAACAAAGTCTCACGATGGAGACGTTATTGGGCCTGTTCGAGCAAATCGATGATCAACGGGAGGGCCTTTACTTTTTACTTTTACAAGATTGTTATTATGGAAACCGAACTCTGAGGAGTTTTCATTACAGGCAATAAACACAGGGGGTCATTCCCTTGGCCCTCGTTGGGACCCAGTGAGGACCCATGTCTGCACGAACACATGATACACACAGCAGCAAAGGACGTTCACCTCCACATACACCTACAATAGCAGAAAGCCCCGGCAGACAAATAAACAAGTCCAAACACTCACACAATAATGCTCACGGCACAGACGCACAAAGCCCCACGGGTGGGCCGAGGACTCAAGCACAAAGCACGTGGCCCTTTGCTCTGCTTCCTTTATTGTGGCTCTGGCCGGGAAGCTCCCCTATCTTCCTCCTCTTTCTTCTGCAGGGTGTCTTCAGGACTGGCCTCTCCTCCCCTGCTTCTGACGCCCCCATCTTGCCCTTTCCCTGGGCTGCGGGCGGCTCCTCTGGGGGCGGGGAGGGGTCTGGCGTCTTGGCAGCTTGGGTGAGTCCTGGCCATGGGATGGAGAAGCAGGCATGGTCCTGCGTCCTCTTCTCGGTTCTCTTTCCTCGGTGGTCCGGTCCGTGGGTGCCGTTGTCTGTGATCCGGCCTGGTCTGAAGGAAGGAAAACCATGTGGGAAAGGTCGGAGGCTGGTGCAAACGCTGCCTCTCTGACTTTTTTTGTTCATTTCTTTGGGCATCATATCCAGAGCTATTTGGGGGCTCTTCCTGGCTCTGTGCTCAGGCATGACCCCTGGCAGTGCTCGGGACTTTATGCTGTGCCAGGGATTTGAATGAAGGTCGGCGGCTGGTTGGGTCACACCTGGTGATACACAGGGGTGCACACTCCTGGCTCTGCACTCAGGAATTACTCCTGGAAGTGCGCAGGGGACCATACGGGATGCAGGGAATCGAACCTGAGTCGGCTGCATGCAAGGCAAACGCCCTACCCGCTGTGCTATCACTCCAGCTCTGGGCTCCAGCGTATTCCTCACTTTTCCTCATCTGTAAATCACACTTGGTCCCGCTTAGAATGCGCCTGGTCCTGCTCTGCTCTGGCTAACTGGGAGCTCTGTGACCCCCAGTGTCTTGGGTAGCAGTGAGACCCCTCGGAGTGTGGGCCTGGCTCCTTACCTCCGGCTTAGGCTCAGGGCCGGGCCCCGCGCCTTTTCCGCTCTGTGTTCTGAAGTTTGGTCACCAGCTTCCTCTCGTGCCCAGTGGGGCTGGGCCGGTTGGTGCGGATGGCAGCTTCCCTCTTGGTGCGCCCCTTCGAGCCTCCTGCACCCGGGAACCCAGGCAAGATGGGGTGAGGCACGAGAGCTCCCGGGAGGGGACAGGAGTGTGGGTGGAAAGAGCTGGTGCCGGAGTAGGGAGGCTGGGGGAGGGGTTCCCTCTCAGCTCTGAGGCAGTCTGAGAACGTGGACCCCCGATCTATAGCGTGACCCCTCCTGGATGACCTGTTCTGGACCCTGGAATGAGCAGCACAGTGCTCCGTGAACTGGGGGGCGACAGGGAGCTGACTCAGGAGCTGAGGGGACAGGTTGACTGGAAGGAGATGAGGGGTGAGGTTAAGAGGGGTTCTCCGTGGGGACAGGGGCGGGGATGAGAAGCAGAGGGACCGCAGAGGGGACGCGCTGAGCCTTACGGAGGTGAGGATGGTGCAGGTTGTAGCTGTCATACTCGTCCAGGAGGACATCTTCCTCCTCTGAGCCCACGGGCAGCCGGCACGGACGGCCCACCGGAGGGGAGGCGCCCGTCATCTCTGCTTTCTCTCTGGCGTCTCTTGCTTCTTCGGAGAGCTGTGTTTGGGTCCAGGCTGCTGATGCCTCCCTGGTCCCTGGCCCCGGCTTATAAAGTCAGCCTCCTCCCAGCCCGCAGCCGGAGCCGGAGCTGTCTGATGCAATCCAGCCCAGTCATCCAGCAAGAGTCTGTCCCTGCCCCCCTTCCTCTCCTCTCGCTGGGGCTCGCCCAGCTGGGTGTTTTTCCACAGGGATCTCTGAATCCCCACCCCTCCAGGAGGAGGAGGGAAGGAACAGAGTCTGGGCAGGAAGCGTCCTTGGCATCCTGACCAGCGGGGACCAGAGTGCCTCACCTGGCCTGCTCCTTCCTACTTAGTCCCTGCTTTCGGCCACACACTGCTCCTGGGTCTGGGGGAGGGGGGGCGGCAGCTTACTGACCCCCGCCCCTCCCCCCAGCTTGAGTTTAGTGGCACCAGTGAAGCAAGAAGCCGAGAAAGGCTATTGATTCACTAAGGGCCAGGCCAGCAGTTCTCGTCCACTGCACCCATACATTTTAAAACAAAAAATAGCTTGGAAAGCCCCCTTAAAATCCCAAACTGAGGGGCTGGAGGTATTACAGTGCATAGGGTATTTGCCTTGTGCATGGTCGACCTGGCTTAGATATCCAACACCCCCTTTTGTCCCCTGAGTTCCCCAGGAGTGACCCTTGAGCACAGAGCGAGGAGTAAGCCCTAAACAAGCAGGGTGTGGCCCACCAAACAATCCAAGTAAACTAAAACAAAAATCTAGAGGTTGCTGAGATAGCACAGGCCTATTGCTTTGAATGAGGCCAAGTTCAATTCCCCGGCACCTCATATGTGCCCCTCATAAGTGCCCCTGAGGCCTTGCAGGAGTGATCCCTGAGACAGAACCAGGAGTCAGCCCTGAGCACCACTGGGTGTAGCCACAAACAGGAAACAAAACAGAAAACCCCCAACTGGTGGTGGTGGTGGGGGGAGTCAGTAAATAATCTCTGTCACTTGAGAGGGAGGCTAGCTAGCAGAGGGAAGATTCTAGAGTCAGAAGCAAAACAGAATGTGCATTTCAAGCACGGCTATACTAGCAGAAGACGTATATGGAAGGAAGAGACCATGATAAACATGTGAGAGGGGGCCAGAACGATAGCACAGCGGGGAGGGCGCTTGCCTTGCACGCAGCTGCCCCAGGTTTGATCCCCAATATCTCATATGGTCCCCCAGCACCCCAAGAATGATTTCTGAATGCAGAGTCAGGAGTAACCCCTGAGCAGTACTGTAGCTCAAAAACAAAAAAAAACACGTGAGCATCAATTTTCCTCTTTCCTGAAGGATCTTCCCAGGTGGGTGGTATGGACCCTGAGGCCCCCTCTCAGGTGGGTGACCAGCTCCCCCTGACAGTGACACAACAGTCCACTGTTTCCTTACCCGCCAGCCTTGCAGCCCCAGTCCCTCCCGCCAGCTCCCTCTGCTCTGAACCATCAATACCATCAAGACCATCAATACCATCTTCTCTGGGTTCCTCCACACCAGCCTCCCCCCGACTCAGCCTGTTTTACAAGAAGCAGCACTTCCCCAGTGGGAGTCACGGTTCAACTTAACTGTTGTTTCCCAGATTCAGGCGTCTGTAAATTTTTTAACACCTGGGAAATGAAAGTGAAGACAGGAGATCCCTTGGATCAAAAACAGTTGGGATAACAACAGGTCAGAGGGTAACCGGAAGAGGAAAATAGCCTTCAGCGATGGTTCATTAAGCTAATATGAATTACATCGAGACAAATTAAGGTGGAGAAAAGGAAGTAATAGGGTGTCAAGGAGAAAATCTGACAGTCACTGAGAACGGTGGCTAAACCATGGCTCCCTGGTGACATGCCGAGGGGCAGGGTCTAGGGTCAGGCCGTTGTAACCAAGTTTTGTGTCTTCCTGACAGCCAAATGTCTTGAGGCTGTGGACCAATGATGTGAATGGTCTTGCCTAACCGCCAGCCAAGACCTCCAGCAAAGCCCTGAGTGTCCCTAGGGGGTGTCAATTCTTCACTCAATTAAAGAATTGCAAGGACCCTCTGGGGCTAGCTTGAGGGTTTCTGTCTCCTGTGTTGAGGGATTGCTACAGCACCCCTCTGTGAAAGGGCTTCAGCCAGGGCCAGCACATGATGTCCACACAGCTGTTTTCCCCATTCTTCAAGGAAAAGAACCCTGGTCTTCAAGCGTGACTCACTCTTGGTCATGGGGCTGGGAAGGGTGAATCATTCCTCCTGCCCTCAGCTCTGGAGTGCCTCTAAGACTGCACAGCTGCCCAAACACTGGCAAAGCCTTGGCAGCCTGTATGTGGGGGCACTTGACAGGGATTCCTGCCCCGGGCCCTCCCTCCAGCCTAGTGACTGCTTTGGACCAAGCCAGGCAGCTGACCATCCCCCAGTTGGAGTTTGGATGGCAGACCTAGGAGTGAAACAAGAAAGGGAGAAACGCTCAGAGCTCTGAGCATTGTGATCCCCGGAATGTGTGATGGGAGAGGTGGTGAGTAGTGCTCGGTCCTGACCAAGAGATGCCTCCATGCCCCCACCCCACCCCTGCCCCAGTATCTTTTGTTCCATTACCCTAGTTTGGTTTTGCTTTCTCCATAGCATCCAGTTATCACTAAAGAAAAAATATCTTTTTGTGTATTCAATATGCCAAACACAGTAACAACAAGTCTCAAACTGGAGACGTTACTTGGGCCCGCTTGAGCAAATCGATGAACAACGGGAGAACAGTGCTACAGTGCTACAGTTTTTTTTTTTTTAGAGCAACACTCAATGGTGGGGCTACTCCTGACTTAGTGCTCAGAGAACCACAACTGCTCTGCCACTGAACCACAGCCCTGGTCAAAATAGGTTTTGGGGGGCTGGAGCGATAGCACAGCAGGTAGGGAGTTTGCCTTGCACGCGGCCAACCCGGGTTCGATTCCCAGCATCCCATATGGTCCCTGAGCACCGCCAGGAGTAATTCCTGAGTGAAGAGCCAGGAGTAACCCCTGAGCAACACCGGGTATGATGAAAAAAAAAAGCCTTTTTGTTTACTTCTTCATGTTCTTTCCCCACCAGAATGCCACTGTTGGTTTGGCTAAGATAACAGTGACAGGTGTTTGATCATTGTATGACTGAGATTCAAACATGAAAGTTTTGTAATTGTTCTCATGGTGATTCAGTAAATAAATTAAAAAAAAAGATAGCAGTGACAGGAGTGTGTCCTATAGGCAGACTGCTGAGGGCCAAAGCACCTGCGACTGGTCAGTTATGTGCCCTTCAGACAAGTTCCTCTGGCCTGAGTTTTCTCCTCTGTAAAACGGAGTGCATAACAGTATCTCTCTAGGGATTATTGTGAGAATTCTTTTTTACTTCTCTTGTGAGAATTTATTTATTTTTTTGTCTTTTTAATTTTTATTAGTGAAACACCATGAGGTACAGTTGTAGACTTACAAATTTTTGTGCTTGGGTTTCAGTTATACAATGATTAAATACCCATCCCTCCACCAGTGCTCATCCTCCACCACCAATGATCCCAGTATCCCTCCCACTCCCATCCCCCGCATCCCACCCTGCCTCTGTGGCAGGGCATTCCCTTTTGTTCTCTCTCTCCTTTTGGGTGCTGTCTGTGGTTTGCAAAAGAGGCATTGAGTGGCAATCATGTTTGGTCTATAGTCTACTTTCAGCATGCTTCTCCCATCCTGGAAGGATTCTCTCAACACCCTTTATTTGGTGCTCCCTTCTCTATCTGAGCTGCCTTTTCTCCTAGCGTGTGCAGCTGGCCTCTGAGCCATGGAGTAAATGCTCCTGGTACTTATCTCGGCTATTCTTGGGTGTTAGTCTTCTATTTTGTTACTCAATGTTCCCCGGATGAGTGAAATCTTTCTATGTCTGTCCCTCTCTTTCTGACTCATTTCGCTTAGCAAGATACTTTCCTTGTAGTACCACTTGTATGTAAATTTCATGACTTCATCTTTTCTAATAGCTACATAGTACTCCATCGTGTAGATGTACCAAAGTCTTGGGAGAATTTAAAAGACATTTTTTTAAAATGGAAGTAAAGTGGTTTAATGAATGGAACTCACTTACAAAGAGGTGGGAGAGTGAGAGAGAGGAATACATGTTCAAGAGAGCACACAGCGAGGGAGGGAGGAACGACAGTTTAGGGGGTAGGATATTTGCCTTGCAAGCGGCTGACCCCAGTTTGATTCTCAGCATCCTATATAGTACCCCGAGCACTGCCAGGAGTAATTCTTGAGTGCAGAGTCAGGAGTAACCCCTGAGCATTGTCAGGTGTAGCCCAAAAAACCAGAGAGAGAGAGAGAGAGAGAGAGAGAGAAAGTGAACACAGACAGGAAATGATAAAATAACAAAAAACACTCCCCCACCACAAAAGGAGAGAGGGAATATGGGCCTCTCCAGAGGAAAAATAAAAGAAAGAAACATCGAGACCAGCAAGTGAGAGGGAGAGTACAGGCTTGAAGAGCAAGACCAGTACTTTTTCTTTAGTTGTTGGGTGATATCCAGCAGTGACGGGGGCTACTTCCAGCTCAGTCCTGCTTGTGATGCCTTCCACATGCAAAGCAGGTGCACTAGCCTTTCCAATTACCTCTCTGCCTTTGATCAAAGGCTGGGCCCCATGCCTAGGACATAGCGAGTGTTTAGTGACTGTTAGTGGTGATTATCATCATTGTCTATGAGCACACAGCTCAATAGTGACTCATTGAGTGTTGGCAAAGGGGGCACCTTCTGTTTAGAGGTCAGCGGCTCTGCTGACGGAACTGAGAAGCTCAAGCCCACTACTCCAGAGGATGAGGAGACTGGGGCCTTCATTACAGAGCAAAGCAGGAGGACGCCTGGTCAGTGTTAGGGGTGGGCGGAGGAAGGACAAGAGAAACGGCTCTTCGAGGAACACACTAATATGGGCCTGTAGCTCTCAAAAGGTGACTCACTGGGAAAAGTTTTCAGGTGTGTGTACAATTAGCGAGAAGGAAGTTTATTTTCTTTCTATTTACGACTGTATACTGCTTGTGACATTCCCAGAGGTTGCCAGGTTTTTGGAACCCAGAACTGAGCATAAACAAAGGGCTTAGAAGCTCCTATGAGGGCACCCACCCC